TGCGCAGTTGGTTTGCTGGTTGTGACTGAACCATCCAGTCGACCTTTTACATGTACGGGTGGTCTCTTGCTGTGGACAAAACATTGTGTAAATGACGGAGTTTGAGGTTGTGTATGTGTTTATGTGTGTTCCCCGTCCGCTCAGTAGGGCTTTGGTTAATTTGCACTAAATCGTTGATGTTGGTCAGTTTTATCAATGAATTCAGCGGCGTGAGCAAGGTTACCAATCATGCCCAACATATGCTGCACGATGATACTCGGTTCTGTGCTGTGTCGCGCTTGCCTGCCATGTTAGCAGAATGTTTCATTCTTTGGCTCACACTGCCGATTATTCATAGCATCAGCAGCTCGTTGCACCCCTGCCATGGTGATTTGTTAGGACCCCAGCATAACCAAAAAGTGGCAGCAACAAACATTGCTGGTTTTTGGGCTGTAATTATGCCATCGCACGAAGCTTTCACAAAAACTATTACCATAAATGGCAGTTGCAGATTGTTTTGCAAAATGACGCCGTGAAATTACCCTGTGTGGATGAATGCCGGATCCGCTGCCTCAACCTTTGCCTGCCGGGGGCGAGGAAGATGAACATGACGAAGAAGACACGGGCTTGCTAACAGGCTCACAGAAATCCGGGGCATCTTGACTGCAAGCCGCAACGTGTTGGAACAAGAGTGTTTCCAAGTCTTGTACACGAGCATAGCAGCAAAGCATGGCAAGCGTGCCATGGCCGTAATAGTATGTTAATAGGATCTTGCTTCACTCCAGATATGCATGACGCCTTGGCTATTGCATCATTGCTTCAATTCAGGCCTCTAGCATGTATCTGAAGCGATGCTATTGCATTTGTTCCCTGCAGGCAAAAGGTATCAACGAAGAGGACATTTTCTTTGTGGAGGACAGTCCGCATCGTGCACGCCCCAGCGAAATTAATTGAGCAATACTTAATGCAATCTAGGCAGCAACGCTGCAGTTCTACACATATCAGGTGTTTGGCAGGGATGATGGGGTCTGTTCCTGAAACATCTGAGGAACTTGCGGCTGTGTTCTTGCTGGAGCAGTATGTGGTATTGTTCTCTTTATGATTGGCAGATGGGTGGGAGAACAAGATCAAGTTTTTCAGGGGCTTCTCAATCTCAAAGAGGCCGTTTCTGCATCAGCCTCTCACCTCATGCCGTCTGTTGCCATCAGTGACGCGTTACCCCAAGCAGCAACCACAGTCACCTCAACAAGTACAGAGCTTCCGACACTTCGGGCCACAACCCCGGCAAGTACAGTGTCTGCAGTTGCAACCCCTTGGGTTGACTCTGGCAGTTATAGATATCCATACGATCCAGGCAGTGATGCCTTTAATGCAAAGCCACTAGAATGCCTTCGGCTGACCACGCCGGGGCTCCAGCGATTCGAGTACCCGGACGATGCTGAGGCGCACTTTGAAGAGCTGAATCGCACAATGAGTGCTTTTACTAAGGGTGTCAGGCCACTTTGTGGCAAAATCACGGCAGGCTACTGTGGACCCTGGATCGAAAATCACTGGATCTGGACATTCAGTGCCAAGTGGAAGAATCGTCCAAATGGTACAAGGCTGAGAGACATTTTCGGTCCCTATATTCCGATCTTGTTCCCTTTTCTGGACATCTGGATCCCACACTTTTACCGGTATCCGCCTGGAATTATAGAAACCTTAAATCAAACAATGCGCCGCAACGTGTTGTATATAGCCTTGTCACAGAGCGACGACAGCCTCTTTGGGCACAACTTGAAGCACTGGGGAAAGTTCACTTTGCAGGATTTCCCCAACCTCTTATTGATGAGTGCTGGAGGCTATGGCCACGTGCCACTGCCTTTGTTTAAGCAGACAGAAGACCCAGTGCATGCACCACCCATCATGGATCGGCCCTATGCAGTGTCGTTCATGGGCTCACTGAATCATGGGCCTGCTGGCACACGAACGACCATGAAGTCAAATGCAGAGAGCTGGGGGAGGTTGAGAAACAAGTCGGTTCTCATAGGCAAGGGAGAAAACTGGAGAGAGGTTATGGCGAACACGAGCCTGAACCTGTCACCGCGCGGTTTCGGCCGCAATTCTTACCGGACTTTGGAGCTGTTTCAGAAGGGTCTGATACCCATATACATTCATGCTAAGGGTCCCTGGCTGTTCTACCGCGATCTTTGGGTGGAGGAGAAGATTGGTTTCTATACGACACCGGACTCTCTGGGGTGGCTGCTGGATCGAGCTTTTTCCAATGTCACGAAGCTCCTGGACATTGAGAAGCGTATCCGGGCCATGAGACAAACGCATTTTATGCCAACAGGCATACTTGACCAGATCTCAAAGTTCATGACGGAGAGGGATGGAGGTGGTGATCTCAGGTGTCAGGCCTTGCCAGATTCTGTTCTCTGAATGCGCTCCACCGGAAGGGAAGGGCTTGGCAAAGAACGAACCCGCGAGCTGCATGCCTGGAGACAACATCCATGTTGCGCTGAGTTGATGTGATGACTGGCAAGGCTTGTGTGTCTAGTTTCTGATGGCTTTGACATGGTGATTTTGACGTTGGTACTGGCAGCTGTGTTAATTCTTTCTGGATCCGGCACAGTGTCTGGACGTGGGCTCACATGCAGCTTCAGCTGGCTTGTTGTACCAGCGTGTGATGTGAAAGATGTAGACATTATGCTGGCTCAACGCCTGCGATACCCCCGTAGTTTCAGGCACTGCTTCTGACATGCATGCCATGTTGCAATCATAATTAGTTACCAAGATGGCCTTCCGCGGCATGTTGTGGACTAATGCAGATGACTCCGGAAATTGAAATGCATGGTTACCAGTTTGACAGATGCTGGTCTCATGTAAAATACAAATTGCTCAAACTCATTGAGATTTTTGGAGGTGATTCAGTGTGCTCATGAGGAGGAGTGCTTTGTTGGATTCCCATTTAAAGGGCTCCACAATAAACGATCCAGTTTGGCACATCCTGGTGTGAGCCTATGGCCAAACCTTCTGGGGTACCCACTGTGCGAGAGGCAGGGAGGGAAGAGAATCTACGGTCCAGGGTTTTCACACACACAAAGAGATCATGATTCCTGTGCGCAGCGGAGAATTTTAGAGTAACTTGAAGGCATTCCCTACTCCTGAGCTAAGGTTTTAGAGGTGCCTGGTGGTCTTTTTGCGTTTGCAGGTTTTCAGGCTGTTTGCCTTTTTACATGTTATTGGTATGAGTCTGGTTCTATTTGCTCAGATTTTGACGCAAAGCCCCATTTGCAGGCATTCTCATTGCAGAAAGTCTCCGTTGCTGGTGCTTGGGACTGCCAGGGCGTGGGCTTACAACTAGCATGCTTGCCCGTCATGATGGTGAGGAAAGCAGAGCCAGCCCTGAACTTGCATTGACGCTAAAAACTCCGCACGTTGAAGCATGGAAGCTTGCACACACCAAGCCGTGAAGCAGACATCAAGTGCCTCAAACTCCCAAGCCTGCTAAGCCCTACGCCTTGCAAGCCCCCAACCCGAACACCCAAAAAGTACCCTCATCCCAAACTCTCAGCCTTGAGCCCACATCTTGGAAGCTGAGCCAAGAAACGTTAAAGCCAACGCCCTGAGCCCTCAACCAGAACCTTGTGCCAGCCAGGCAGGCAAAAAAGTCCGTGAGGTTGAAACAAATCTCAACCCAAATCACCCAAATTGGGGTTAGGGTTTAGGGTTTAGGGACATTGGGGTTATATTGGGATAATGGAAAAGAAAATGGAAACCAATATAGCATCTTGGGGTAATATTATCCCCAAGGTCTAAACCCTAAATCCCTAAACCCTAAACCCTAAACCCCAGAAGCCTTAACCCTCGAGCAACCTGAAAGAGGTAGATGCAGCAGCTTTCAACCTGGCTTGGGTCCAAGCGTAGATCCTCTCCAAGGTTTCTGGCAAGGGTAACTCTTGGGCGTTGGGGTGAATGATTATAGAGTTCGCTGGAGGTTCAGGGGTTTGTTTTGCTTTTGATTGTATTGTTGTGCAGACTTTGGCCTGGAAGGGTTAACCAGGCTTAGAGGTTAAGAAGCCTTCAAATCAGTGCCAAGAGGCTTCCTGCGAAGGTCGCATGGAATTTCCGCCTCTGTTTTCAGCAGATCCGTGCAGAGTGTAGAGAACGTCTTTATGGTTTTTGGGGCATCAGAAGGCGTACAGCATTTTGTGTCGTTTTGGTATCCTCGTGTGCAGAAACCTTGTACTTAGCCGAGAAAGCCCTCGCAATGGTTTGCCCTCTACTTCATATTGCAAGTCACTTCCAACACGCTAGATGCATTGCGAGCACATTGCAGCAAACGTGGGTGACAGTTCTACCGAGTCCCTTTTGCTGAACGTCTTCAGGGCTTTCATTTTCTCAGAATCTACATTACCTGCCAAAGCTGGGCGCTACCCAGTTGAATGGCGATTTCGCTGGAGTGGAAGCCTTCTGTGAAGGCTCAGCGGTTGTGGATGGAGCACGGTGATTCTGTCAGGTGGCACAAATGGATAGGAGTGATTCCTAGTGCAGTGCTGCTTCTTGGAAGGCTCAGCTTTCGTCAGCTTAGGAGGGCAGAAGTAGGGCGGGGTTGGAATCAGAGGGTGGTCACGGATGAAGTTGCGCGGAGCATGTTACGTGAGTGAATTTGATCAACAGCACCCGCTAAAGCTCATGCTGTAGGAAAACAGGACTCAGGCCGATTTTTTCCTAGATGTTACTCTCCCACAGACAGACGACGTGTCGGGGTATGACCTGAATTCGTTTGAAAGTGCTACCTTAGCTCCTTCACATTCTTTCGGGATGGGCTGGACTCCTCGCGTCTTTGATTCATGAGTAGTTCTCATAACGTAGACATCAAGGCCACGAGCCTGAGACTTGACTTTTTCTTTGAATGAATGACTGATTGGCTTTTTATGTGGTTCATGTGCAGCCAGGTTTTTAAACCCCTAGAACAAATCTCAATGCAACAGTACCTGCACCTGCTTTTTTCGCAAATGGCACATGCGCAAATGCATGGCCATGCACATTTGGGTGTGTTCTGGCCTTGGAGTTGTATGGTCAGGGTCAAATGCGCTGTGCGACATGGCGCAGAAAGTTTCGCGAGATGCCAGCACCTTGTTTGAGGGCTGCCACGAACAAAATGCTGTGAGTGCTTGTGGATTGATTTTGTTTTGCGATTTTCCTGCATTTGGCGCCTGCAAAGGTTGGTTCAGCCAGTAGAACGATGCTCTCGTGCTAGGTCTAATGAGCGGAAGCACGATCAGGGCGAGTCTCTCAAGGAGTGCGGAGTGTCTGAATATTGTGCGCCACGACGCTTCAACCTTTTTACGAGGGAAGAGCAGACCCTGCGCCGAGGTCGCCATGCGCTGTGTGCGGCTGCGGCTTGTGGCTCGCCTGGCAAAGGAGCCTCTGCCAGAGATTTCCGCTTTTGTGCTGCTGTGAGTTCCGGTGAGAACAATGGATAGCAGTCATGAAAATCTAGGTACATTCACGACGGTTACGGGATGTTGCGGGGGTCATGATAATTGTCATGATGCCAATGATATGCTTCTGACATTTCTGTTGTACGGCCGGCCATCAGGCTGCCAGAAGGTCTTATTCTTGTAGGTTCTTCGTTTGGTTGTGCCGCAAGCGGAATTTCGAGCATTCAGGATCTCAGGTCTTGTGCATCTTCAGATTTCGGCGGGTTACCAGAAGCTTCTTCTTCTTCAACAGCGTTCGCATGTGATCATGCAAGCTGAGACAGGGCCATACTTATGTGGCCCAACCTGTTCATGCTGAACAGTGTTCACTGCACTCCCTCAGCTTCACTAAGAGGGCACAGGCTCAACGGCTGCATAGCGACCCCAGCCGCAAAAACTCAAGCAATCCTTGACAAGAGGCTACAGGGGCCAACTCACAGCCTGAGCATCAGGACATTTCTGGAGGCAAAATTATTTCAGCATGTCATTCAGCTGATCGAGGAAGGTCTGCGCATCCCGCTCTAACCCCCCTTTTGGCGCTTGGCCCCCTGAAGAATGCTTCCACCTTGATCTTTTAAGTGATCCTCCAAGATCTTCACGATGGGCATTGCACTCTCGCTCACTGCTAGGCACAACTTCATCTTGGTTTGGTCAAAGCATTTCTTAATGCGGCATACGTGCACAAAGCTGGCAACCATCGCTGGGCTACTGCAGCATTCCTTCACATGCTTCTGGATGATGTCCTTTTCGGGCTCGCTGACAATCTGGTTCAATGTTTCTAGCAAAGCAATCCAAGCATGGCAGTGGGGCTGTCCCTCTGGAAGAGAACCACCGGTTTGCTTAGCTTTGTCCTGCTCAACATTGTATGCCTTCGTGGCTTGCAATTTGTTGGACACCAGCATGCAGTCTTTGGGAAGCTGGATAGTCACAAGCGATGCTGCCTGCAATTCCCTTACGTCCATAGAGTTCTTGAGGCACAGTTTTGTGAGAATCTGAATGCCCTTCATCTGGAACTTCTCACTGCCTACCGCCACTCTTTTAGACGTGACTC